TCCCATGGCATGGTGTAAATCACACAGAAGGCAGTCTGTAGACACCGTGGTAACAGGAGAGTGGCATTTCCTGCCATTAGGTGTCTGGGAGTGGCTGTCTGGGCCCTTGTGCAGATGTTGAAGTCTGATGTCAACAGCCTGTGCCTCATCTTCTGTCTGCTGTCCATGTTTTGCACCATAATGCCACTGGAACATCTGCCACAACCAAGGACCCTGCTTCATGTTTGTGATGAGGGGTGCAGAGGAAGACACAGGATGAACTAGAGTCCCAGTCCCAAATGAGCGGGGATCAACATTTAATTGTTAAAAAGCAAATATCAACACATGTTTATGTCATGTGATGGTAACCCATTAAGTAATTTTGTGTTTTTATCTAGCCACAGATAATAAGGATACTTTTATTTTTAACTTGTCACAGGAAAGAAAAGCTCCATCAATAAAAGTCTGTACTATTTTCCAAACTCTGGAATGTTCCCTCTAGCTCTAAGGAGCTTTAGATTTTGGACTTTCTATTTTTCTAAATCAATGTCCTAGCTAAAAATTATCCATCTCCGTCATTGCGTTTCATGTCTCTATACTTAATAAAATTATATGTCATATTAAAGAAGATGGGATACAATTAAAACAGGATGTTAACACTATCATGATACTTCTCATAAAGTAGGAGAGCAATATTGTGACCTTAAATCTTTTAAAGAGCCTGCTCTGTCTTTGGAAACGTGTGCAGGCCTTCTGCTCTGAGCCCTCCAATATATCTTGGAATTCCAAGTGTAGCTCTATCCCTTGGTCTGGCCTCTAGCATCTCTGCTACTTTCGAGGACTCACAAACACTTCCTGTCAGTTTTCCAACCCATTCCCTTTGACCTGGTCCAGAAAGCCTTTTTTCTTCTGAGGGTGGGGACAGTGCTCACCCTCTGGCTAAGAGTTCCTCCAGAGTCTTGCATTGTAGCCTTGTCTCCTGGAGACCCAAGGCCCAGAAGTCCTAGTTACATTTTTGGAGTGGTCCTCAATTGTTCCTGAGGCAGTGTCTGCTTCTGCCTGAACATGGAGATCATGAAAGAGCATACAGACATGTGGGGGTGAATAATGCTGGGTTAATCTCTCAAGTACATCATCTATCTGCCTCACTTAAGGAAACAGTGGACTGATTTTAAGGGAAGCAAATTGGTGACAGTTTTCCCAAATTTCAAAAAATCTCTTTACAAAGTTTGCCAGTTTACTACAAACTCTAGAAAGCGATATGCACTCGGGCAAGGGAAAGGCAGGGGTTGCATAATGAGATGCGTCTCCAGGGATGGTGCTCCTTTCTGCTGTCATAAAGCTTCTCCCAAATAGTCAAGGCCTTGATAAAACAAGTATCTGTCGTGTTATTTAGGAAGGGATGACAGGTTAGAGCCACTGAGCAAGTGATAAAGTGCCCTTGACTTGGCAAGCTCCCATGCTTGGATATGGTTCTCACATTGATGTGCCTTGAGAGCTCCCTCTGTTGGCTCAGTGACACAATTGTAGGCAAGGAAGGCAGAATGTGTGTCCCCTAGTGATGGTATGGTTCATACCACTTCTCTTAACAGCCCTGGCTTCATCTACCAAGCTATGGAAAAATACAGTCTTATGCTTTGTCATTGAGTGATGAGGCAAGGCCTGGGCAAAACCCCGTGGAAAATTTCATGCTCTATTGTGTAGTAGCTAATGCTTGCTTGGAAAATAAGCATGTTCAATCTTTTTATAGCACAAGTTCCTTTGCAGCAAGAGAACACTTGCACGTCTGTGTAAGGCTTTTATATTGTCATGCTTAACCACTGTGACTTTACCAGCTGCATGCCAGCTGGGGCATGGTACATTACGGAGAGTAACTATGAAGATGTCATTAAATGACCTGCTGTTGTACCCCTTTCAGAAGCTAGAGAGGAAAATGTGTCTTCATATGTCATTTTTGTTTTGGGGGGGCATATTAATAGTCCGAGTTTAAAAACAGGCCTATCCACACTCCCTGTAACAATCTTAATAACATAGTTTTTTTTTTCTTATTAAATACAATGTTAGTTACCCATCATGCATTTCTGTAGAATGTACTTCGTCATCAAGGAAGGGGGCTCTTTAGCATCTAATGAAACCAATGTGAATACACCTGTTAGGGAAGAGAACCAAAAATTTCTGTAAAAGGGACGAGGAGGCCAAAGCCTGCACGTCTCTTGGAGAGAGCCCACATCTGCTGTTATGCTCAGGATGCGGGACCCCTGAACATGACCACCACAAAGCCAGATATTGATGCATACACACAGGGTTTATTAAGAACAAACTCGAGTTCAGGCTGTCCAGCAGCCCTGTGATGCACCAGGTGAGAGCGGTGGCCCGAACCAGCAGGGGAGTAGGCTTATAGGGAAAAACCTGCAGGCTAGGGGAGTACAAGCCTTGGCATTTTCTGATTGGTTCAGAGGGATGCTTCCTGGGTCATTGACTCCCAGGGCTAAATAAGCATTTGGAAATGTCTGTTAGAGCATCTGGTGACCTATAGGGATAACTGGTCACATGATGACATGTCTGTTTCCTCAGTGTCAGGATGTGAGGGCCCTGGAGAAACAGTCTTGCCTGCTGGTGCCTGGCCTGTCACTGCCATAGTCCATGCGTTCTTTGTGGGAACTGGCAGTTCACCAGCTCACTGTTGGTTTTCTTTGGGAATAGGATGAGCTTAAAATGAGTGGACTGCGGAGAACCTTTAAAATCACATGCTAAAAATGCTTACATTAAGAAAATTGTGTCGTCAATGGTGTCCATCTCAGAGTTGAAGGATTTCCTTCTGAGATTTTGGAGAAGAAAATGTGACTTTTTTTTTTTTTTTTTTTTTTTTTTTTGTGGTCCAGCAGAAAAGTCAGATGTTAATCACTCACAACAGAGGGTGAGGGCCTTTTCAAGTTCTCATGTTTATACTCAACTTGCAGGACAGAGTGTCTGATTTATAATTTTCAGTTCGTGTGTGTGTGTGTGTGTGTGTATCCATGCAGATGTGTGTGTGTGTCCATCCATGTAGGGTATATGTATGTCTCTATCCTTTCAGGTGTTGAGGTGTGTAAGGAGGCCAGAGGCTGGCAAGGACATGTCTTGTTCAATCACTTCTCTATCTTCCTTTCTGAGATATAGTTTCTCACGCAGCCTAGAATTCACTGATTGGCTAGACTGGCTGGCCAGTGAGCCCCATGGATCCCTTTATTCACCATACCCTGATTATACTTGATATTTAGGGATTCAAACCCAAGCATCTCCTTGCCCTCTTAATTTATAATGCTACTGAACATTTAAAACATAGATTGTCACTCAGATGTCCACAATAGTGCACTGACTGCAGCCTCAAAACTTCTGAGCCCAGGTCTGACTGAAGTAGTAAGGTCCAGCATTGCCAGAAGAGATTGCTACTTTTCCACAGTAATACAGCTGGAGGGAAAGACTTGTTTGAGTGAACATTTAGTGTAATTGGGGCTAGTACTTGGATGGGTAAAAGAAACAATTAGTAAATTGGAACGACATCCATTGAAAGATAAAATTTAAAACATTTCACATCTCTAACTTCATTATGTATTGTCAAAATCTAAAACCCTTGGTTAGATTCTCCTTCAGCTTTTTTCCTACAACATACCCATGTAGATTTATCCAGGTTTATCTTTTACATGGTAGATTGAGAACTTAGAAATCTGAATTCAGACTACAGTTTTACCAGCTTACCCCATTAAGACCTGGTCTGCCAATGACATGACATATGATTTTTGCCACTTGTCAGTGCGAAACATTTTTGGTAAGCCTTTGGTTTAGTTTTTCCTAGCAAGGCTAAACTGATATTCATCTTCCATCAATTTATATCATGGGTAAATTCATAATAGTGAGTACACTGGCAGAAACATATCTGGAATTAAACCCAGTGATTTGGTTAAATATCTCCCAAACAGGCAGAAGTTCATGGGTGTGCCAGAGAGTCTGCCAGCTTTGGGTAATCCTGGCCAGGACAGAGTACACACCTGTTAGACATGTCTGGGGTCTGATGCTAGCCTGTGAGTTGGTTATGGTCTTTAATTAAGCATTTCTACTAATGCACCCAGGTAGTAACTCTTAACAGTTTTGCAAAGTGTTTTCTAGTAGGAGTCCTACAGAACTTGCCTTAATGAGCAGCCAGGCTCCCCGGCAATCAACAGCATCTGTCTGCACAGTGTAATTGGCATGCTAAAGTGCTGTCCCCAGGCAATCTAGTTTACAGTGTGGCACTATAATTGGTTTGCTCATCAGACTATTTTTTCCCCTTGGATGGGGAGAGGTAGTATTTTGGTCTTCTCATCATGGTGCTGTCACAATTTTTAAATTAATGATTTGGAGATTTAATGAAACCTTCTATTCATCCAGGATAGAAATTCTTACTGTCTCTATCAGTATTTTTGGTGAAAACTTTGTCTTCCTAATGAGAGAGGGTTATCAAGAGTGAGTGAGAGCAGGGGAGAGAGCATGCACACAGTAGAGTTAAGACACAGAAAGGGAGCGAGGGAAGGGGGATGCATAAGATAGAAATAGAAAAGTAATGGCGACTCTACATAAACAGATACGCACAAAATGGAACCCACAGATGTGGAAAGAGACACCATGAAAGAAACCAAATGTCTAATGAGATGGAGGAGGCATAGCCTGGCAGTGTTGCACAAGATTCCATGTCTGTCCTTAATCTGTAGAGAGAATAGATGTGCAGGTCAGAGGCTGTGGGACACCATGGTACTGACCAGGATAGGGAATTGGCCCAGGGCATCAGTGCCATATCAGTCAGAACTAGACCCTTGAGCAGCTGGTCATTGGGCATGGGGGGCTCTGTACACTTGCTCATACCTGTTAAATGTTCTTCTCAATTCTTAATGCCTTTCTTTCTTTTCTTCTTTCTTCCTTTCTCTTCCTTTCTGTCTTTCTTCCTTCATTTTCTCTTTTTTTTCTTATTTTAAAAAATATATTTCTTTTCTTTTTTTTGGCTGCAGAAAGGTACTTAAGGAAATCTCTGTTGGAGAATTAAATCCAAATGAAACTGTTCAGGCCAACGTGGAAGCCCAACTCCTTTCCAAGCTAAATCATCCAGCCATTGTCAAGTTCCATGCAAGTTTCATGGAGCAGGATAATTTTTGCATCATCACAGAATACTGTGAGGTGAGGCTTTCCTCTCAGAAATATTTGTAACATCTGTTGCATGGTAGTTTTATATAGAGTGATATCTCAAAATTTTTGTTATCATTCAGCAAGTTGAATTCTAAAGGCCTGATGTCTCATGTCTTGTAGCTAAGAATAATCTTCTCTAAGTAATTGACAAATGTTGTGGAATAGAATATTTGTTTAACTATGTAAAGATGTGTTGCACTGCTTTGTGTTGCAGAATAATTGTTTAACTGTGTGAAGATGTGTTGCTTTTGTTTATGTTGCATTTGTTTAACCATCTAAAGATGTGTTACTGTTCACTTTGTCTGTCTAAGGTACCTGATTGGTCTAATTGATCTAATAAAAAGCTGAACAACCACCAGCTAGACAGAGGAGGGATAGGTGGTGTGGCAGGCAGAGAGAAAAGGGAGCCAGCCAGTGGCCAGCCGGCTAGACATGGAGGAAGCAGGAAAGCAGGATAGAGAGTTCACAGATGAGGTAAATGAGCCTTGCGGCTGCACATAAATTAATATAAATGGGTTAATTTAGGTTAAAAAAGCTAGCTAGAAGCAAGCCCAAGCTAAGGTTGAACATTCATTATTAATAATAAGTCTCTGTGTCATGATTGGATGCTGATTATAGCAGGCTTTCTTGGAGCACCAGCTCCCAAATTCCCATATTCAATTCCATGACAGACAAACTCATTTTTAATGATTGTTTTCCTCTTTTTGGCAACTCAGTCAGAGTGAATATTTGAGAAGGAATCTCTACAGAGGAGTGTTTTTTACATGTATAGGGCCAGGTTGTCAAAACATCCTATGATAGCATAATGAATGCTTAGATGGACACTAGACTCTCAACCAAGGCCTGGATACAGTGGAGGCATAGTTCACATTTCGATTTCCTATTCTATTGCTTGTATTTGAACATTTGAACACATCTCATTTCCCTTGGAGAAGTCTGTCCTATTTATTGACTTGTGAATTATGGCTTGGTATTTGCAGTTTTCTCTGTTCTCTTGAAGTAACAGCTTTGTGCTTTACTAAGCCTCAAATGAGCATGAAGCTTAGAAAGACGAGAGAGGAGAAGATAGACAATATGAAGCTGCAGTGTGGATCTTTGTGTTTATAACTCAGAGGTTAGGTATAGTGTGGGTGACGGAGTTGTGTCATACAGAGCATGATAGAAGATGCCATGCTTAAAATTATGCCTAGATGGTCTTTGAGCTAGGCTACCCGAATATTTCTTAGGAGGATTTGAAAGCATGGAAAGAGAAATTAGTCAGCTCATCACTTGGGTGGCCCTGGAAACCCAAAGAATTTATGTTAGAAAGAAAGAAGTCTCTTTATGGAGCAGAAGGCAAGCTTGTTTTGCTTTGAGAATTTGGACAACCAGATGGAAGCTGAGGGTGCCATGCATCTGAGAAACAGAAGGAAGAATAGAGACTGTACCCACCCATGCTGCTTCTATGTTTGATGGTGCATCAGCCACTACAAAACCAGTAGTCAGACTCATCTGAATGAACTTGGAGCATTCTAAACCCTTGCCTTTCTCCTTTATCCACTCTCCTGATTTGCTGCTTCTCTCCTTGGAGGAGAGGGAGGGAAGAGACAGAGATGTACACATGTACACTGACAGACACACACACACACACACACACACACACACACACACACACACACACACACAGAGAGAGAGAGAGAGAGAGAGAGAGAGAGAGAGAGAGAGAGAGAGAGAGAGGTGGTAATGAATACCAGTTATTTAGATATGTGACTTCTTTACTTGATGGGTTGCTAAGAAAATCAGTCATTGGATGAGGAGTGTAGGGTGATAGCATTGAATTGAATAGCCACTCTGGAAACTGTTTCCAATGTAGCTATGCTATAATCTACCTGCTATTGTTTAATAATACCCTTTCTTCTTTAGCTCTCTTTCAGAAAAACAATTGACTGTTACTACACATGATGATAATCTTCCCCTCTGGTGATTTTGGCACACTTCATTTATTTTATAAAATGTTGATATGTTGTCTCTGTAATTCAGGCTGTTCTTAAATTCGCTATGTAGCCAAAACTGGTCTTGAATTCCTGATTCCCCTGTCTCCGTATCCCAAGAAATGAGATTGTAGGTGTTGAACACCACACCAGGGCACACTAAATTTTTTCCAAAGATGCTTTCTATATCTTAAAACACCTTCAGCTGAAGTCAACATTGCTCAGTGGAAGGTGCTGGGAAAGTGGTCTTCTGCCACAGTCACCTCTAGTCACACTGGCTTTTTGCCTTTGAAATAAAGGAATTTTGTGTGAGCAAACTTTATTGTTTAATTTTAATTAACTTACAATGAAGTGGCTTATGCAGCCAGTGATTGCCATGAGTGACAGATGTAGCTGACATGCTCTTTCTTTTCCTGTGCTATTTTTTTTTTAACTTTACCATAATTTTGAGCTTCCATCCTGGCTGTGAGACTACTCACATCTCTTGCATTTCCCAGACTCCCCAGTTTTATTGCTCTGCGAGGTACACATTTCATTATTTCTTTTCCATTTTATACACTCTCGCTAGCTTTTTCCTGAACTACTTGAGAATAAATGTGTTTTAGTTTATATCATGAACTACTTGACTGTCTCCCAGAGGCCCATGATGCAGAGGCTTAGTTGCCAGCCTACTTATTGGAAGGTGGTGGAGACTCTAGTAAGTGAGGCTGTAGGAGAAAGTGGGGATGGACATTGAAGATGGCATCAGAATGCAAGCCTCCTTCACACCCTTTCCTCCCAGATGCCAAGTATGAGTGTCTTCTCTCAGACATGTGCTTTCCACCATACTCACCTGTCTCATCAGCCCCCAGAGCAATAGAGACAATGACTACTGACTAGAACCTCTGAAACCAGGAGTTAAAGTAAATCTCTCCTGCTTTTCTCAGGGATTTTTTCACAGCAACAGAAAGCTAACTAATACTAAGTTCCAGACCTGGCAGGCAGTGGTGGTGCACACGTTTAATCCCAGCACTCAGGAGGCAGAGGCAAGTGAATCTCTGTGAGTTCAAGACCAGTCTGATCTACAAGAGCTAGTTCCAGGACAGACTCCAAAGCTACACAGAGAAACCCTGTCTCAAAAAACCAAAAGAAAAAAAAAATCCAGACCAATCTTGTCCCAAATAGCTACTGTGTTTTCTAAGGCCAAGGACCTTCCTTTCATAACAACATTTCAAAGTGATAAGAAGGTGGGAAATTAGCACTGAAACAGTGTGAGTATGTAAGCCACTGATATTCTTAATCGGAATCTCACATCTGCAGCATCAGACCCACTTGGTAATTTGGTGGAAATACAGTCCTGGCCTGAAGCCCATCATACTGAATCTAACTTTGTGGGGGTGGGGTTCAGCCATCTGTGTTTTGACAAGCTTACCAGGTGAGTCTGAAACAAGCTGAAGTTTGAGAACCACCATCTAATTCACAATCTATATTCAAATTTGCTCATTTGTTCCAATTATGTCCTTAGAAAGGGCATTTCTATAAAAATGGTTTTTGTTGTACAGAATCCAATGCAGGATCATCTGCATTAATTTTTAAATGATGGTTGGTTTCCATGGACCAAGCTGCTCTCCTGGGAGGGGATGTTGCCATGGTGATGGCTGCCAGCTGCACTGCACAGCTGCTAGGCTTCCAGGGGTCTATGGATCCTGAGCCGTCTGTCCGTCAGACTGCCCCTTCCCAGGCTCCTGAGAAATGATGTGTGCAAGTTGCTACCTTCTTGTTAACAGAGATATTTCTCACATTCAGATGCAAATTCACTTTTTTTTTAACATGGGAAGGAAGTTTTATTGGGAAGAGAAGAGAGTGGGGTAAGGGAGAGAGGGAGGAAAAAGAAAAGAGACAGAGATCTGTCTGCCTCCTCAGAGAGATAACGGAGAAAGCAAAATCACTCTTTACCTTGCTCGGGCCTGATGCTTAATTGAGGAAATGGCAAGTAACCAAACCTTGGTCTCATAAAAAATGTTATCACCATTGCAGTAGCCGAACTTTCTATGTCTGTGTTTCCTCTTGTAAAATGTAATTTCAGACCTTTCGAGTCTGTAATATATTTATGCATCCCTGATATGTCTATATCTGTGCTCAACCCCACTGGTACCTCAGAGTATGTGTGTGAAAAAGCACCAGTGCCTAAGGAGATGACTCAATCAGTAAAGAGCCTGCTGCATAAGGATGGAGGCCACAGTTTAGATCCCCAGAACCTGTGTAAAATCTGGAGGTCGTGGCATGTGTCGGTACCCTTAGCACTGGGGAGGTGGGGACAGGTGGATGCACAGAGCTGGGCAGTTTAGCTAATCAGTGAGCTCCAGGCTCAGTGACAGACTGTCTCAAAATGTGCCTGCCATATACACATGTACACACACACACACAAACACACACACGTACATGTGCACTCACATACTCATGCACATATACACACTGCATAATATTGCATTTAAATAAGGATCAGGATAAACAGATAGGCCGAATAGATGTTTGTTCAGGGAGAAATAACTTACAACCTAGACAGATGAACACCAGCAAGTTCCACCAAATGCTCTCCTCTCCACATCCCACCAGCAAGAGCACATTCCCAGCTTCTCCTCAGACCTCCTTCCACAGGTCACTTCCGCCCCTGGCTCCACCCCCCAATGGGCGTGGTCAGTGCCACAGAAGGAGACAAAAGTGAATATCCCACTACAATTCCCCTTTTAGTCTAAAGAAAAGATTTAGGCTTGATACAAAACTATATACAAAACAGTGAATAACAAGTGTGCTCTAAGAAAAGGAATCGAGAACAAAACGACCTACATATCTAGTCCTAGGGTGAAGGCATAATGGAGTTTACAATAGAGTTGGTCTAAGCTGGAAAACTTAAGTCTGGTACCTAATATATCTAACTAGGAAGAGAGAATAATAGTTGTGATAGTTTAATCTTCAACCTCATCAAGACCTGAGAAGGAAAATAACGATACTAGGGTAGACAGGAAGTGCAGATGGGCAACT